CCATTTCCAAGTTTCCCGTTACTGTTTCTCCCTCCTCACTGACCAGTGGGCCTACCCTCTCCTTGGTCTTCCCCTTGCTTCTAATGTATTTATAAAACGTCTTCTTGTTTCTCTTTATTCCTGTAGCTAGTTTGAGCTCATTCTGTGCCTTTGCCTTTCTAATCGTGCCCCTGCATTCCTGTGCTGTTTGCCTATCTTCATCCTTTGTAATTTGTCCTACTTTCCATTTTTATATGACTCTTTTTTATTTTTAGATCATGCAAGATCTAGTGGTTAAGCCAAGGCGGTCTTTTGCCCTATTTTCTATCTTTCCGACACATAGCTTGCTTTTGGGCCCTTAACAAGGTCCCTTTGAAAAACTGCCAACTCTCCTCAGTTGTTTTTCCCCTCTGTCTCAATTCCCATGGGACCTTACCTATCAGCTCTCTGAGCTTACCAAAATCTGCCTTCCTGAAATCCATTGTCTCTGTTTTGCTGTTCTCCCTTCTACCCTTCCTTAGAATTGTGAACTCTGTGATTTCATGATCACTTTCACCCAACCTGCCTTCCATTTTCAAATTCTTAACCAGTTTCTCCCTATTTGTTAGGATCAAATATAGAAGAGCTTTCCCCCTAGTAGCTTTTTTAACCTTCTGAAATAAAAAGTTGTCTCCAATGCATTCCAAGAACTTATTGGATAGTCTGTGCCCTGTAGTGTTATTTTCCCAACATATGTCTGGATAGTTGAAGTCCCCCATCACCCCCAAATCTTGAGCTTTTGATGATTTTGTTAGTTGTTTAAAAAAAGCCTCATCCACTTCTTCCACCTGGGTAGGTGGCCTGTAGTAGACTCCTAGCATGACATCACCTTTGTTTTTAATTCCTTTTAGCCTAACCCAGAGACTCTCAACACTTCCGTGTCCTATGTCCATCTCCACCTCACTCCAAGTATGTTCATTGTTAGAAAAAAAGAACCTGTCCCCTCCCCCCAGTAAAAAGTTTGGCCAGGGTGCTTTTGCTATAGTGGGCTGCAGTACTTCTTGGGAGAAACCGGCTGTACCCTTCCTGCATACCATTGCCTTTAGAAAAAGGGAAGGTGCGAAAAGGGGAAAATAGCCTCGGACTCTCCCACCCATCACCTTGGTGTGAGTACTGCGGGGCTTACGTACTAATATGTGTTTGCTCTTGGTGCCTCTGGGGTCAATCAAGAGGATTAATGCATGCATGCACACCAAAGAGCAATCAGCGAGGTGCCGCCTCTCAGCTGTGTGCATCTCACCACACACAGTGCTCTCAGAAAAGACTATCTTAAGCACGTTTATGGCGTTTGCTTCTGGGGGTGTTCAGGTTGGGTGAGTATTACAATTTCTTCTCTCAATTGGCCACTGTGATTTATGTGATGCCAATAGGAGTTGAATATTTAAGGAATCCCCTCCAGCCACAGGAGGCTTTGACAGGGTCTTGGCATGAGAGCAAGGTTCTTCTGGGTGATGAACAAGGGGTTAGAGACAGGGTGTAGTGCTGCTTGCTGGGATTTGCTAGCAGAACACGGAATTGCTGTTGCCTGTAAGTGAGTGGCGTGCTGGTGCAATCAAGTGACTATAGGGTACTGGCAGCATTCAGTGGCTCGATATCAGTAACAAGGTATTTGTGGACCAGGTTCTGGCAATATTTTTTGGAGCAACTGGGCAGCACTTGGGTTTTGGTGACATAAAAATGAGAATCTAAAAGGATTTATGTTTGCACAATGCTAAATGTGAGAACAGATACAAAAGGGGGAGCAACCTTTGGTAACAAGACGGAGTGTGCTTGTGGGTGAGTAAGAGTAGATCAGTGTAATGTATCATATGCATATGATAAGTATTGATTGATCTATGTATGTTCAATAAATGTGGCGAGTTGCCTTATCCCCTGAAAGAAAGAAACAAATAAGGAGGTATTGGTATTGCTATTTTAGTCCCAATAGGAGGTTGGGTATACTAGAAAATGTTTAAATGTAAGCAGTCTTTTAAGAAGGCTCCCAGAGAGGAGACTGAGAAATTGGCATTTGTAAAAGATGTTACCCCTTTTGAACAAAATCTTGCAAAGGTTCGGGCATAGCCCTTGGTCTAAGCAAGTGTTAGCTGCTGTCCATACAATTTCAGACCTAGAAGACAAATTGGCTAACTACTTATGGATATATAAACCCTCAACTCCAATGAAGAGGGAAGCAGCTGCAGTTTGGCTTCTATGGAAAACCTGTAATGAGGTGTTCCTCAAATTCACTGAATATAAGAATGCAAGTATGAAACTGCAAAATGTAAAAGCCTCTGCTGCAGAAGTGGAGAGGTAGGAATGCATGTCCCTCAGTACCCAGACAGAGCTAGATTCCCTTAAGGATGGGTACTGAGAGTTAAAGCAACTCTCAGATTTTTCAGGAATATGCTTAAGAAAAAGGACCAGGAGGTATGAGGCTTAGTGAACAAGGCCACCCTCCTTGCTAAACTGGTAATGGGCAAACTGTCAAATTGATTACAAATTGATTCACCAGTCAGAGAAGGAAATATGTTTTGACTGGAGTAGAGATTGTCTCGGGAATCGGCTTTGCCTACCCGACCCTATTAGCAACGGGGTTGTCAACCATTACGGGACTAAACTATTCAACAGCACTCGTCCCAACACCCCAAGTAATACAATCAGATAATCGCTCCCAAATATGCTCCTGGGAACACCGTTGTAATTAAACACCCTAGCCTTAGAACATAAACTTATAAAGGAAAAGGGATGTGGATCACCTCAAGTGCTGTAACTATAATTAAGGCTTGGATTGTATCCAAGACCGGTTGACTTTGTGCTTTTTTTTAGAATCAAACTTGGTTGTGTGGCAGACCCCGATCCGAGCGACAGTATGGTGTTTGGACTCGTTGTAAAGTTCCTTGTGGCCACAGCAGCCTCTGCCGTTCCCAGACACCCTTTCCAGAATGCCATCCAAATTGGCGCCATGGACTGTTGGACGTGTACACTGCTGAACTTTTCCACAGGACTAGGGATTGAATTTGTTCCTCTAAACATGAACAGCTAGTGGAACAAGAGCAACATCCTCAGATGGGGACCAGTCTGGTTCAACGACAGCGACCCCAACCACCAGGATCTTCGGAATGGCTCTGGGAAAGGAACGTGGGGATGGCATGGACAATGGCAACCTACACTATGGGGTCAACCTCTGGAGTATATAACAGGAACCTCCAGGGAAGCATACCCCATCTGCTTTGAGAACAAAAATGGTACCGGTCCCCACCTCAGGTGGTTAGGGGATCAGCAGTGTACCCACTGAGAAATTAAAAGTCTGGGATGTCCCAGAGCAACCCACCAAAAACCCTTAAGGTGCTGGGGATATAACATCTCCCAAGGTGGCACACCACTTTCTAGCAATGTTACCATTATTCCCCTAAACTTCAGTCATTATTCATTATTCCTAACACCGGTCCCAAACCAGTGCGCTAGGACAGAGCTTTTTGCAGCAGATCAGGTCCTACAGGACTTGCTGCTTGCCTTGCATTGCACAGCCGCTAATGATAGTTACTGTGCTACCCACCATACCCCAAAGAAAGGACCCATTGGAACAGGGTGGTATAAGTGACCCTGCTCCCCTATTCTAAAGGAAGAGCCAGGACTCTTTTTCATTTGCAGGCAGAAAGCCTGCAAGTATCTGCCACTGAATTATAAAGGGTGCTGCCCACTGGGGCACGCTGCCACTGTACACCACCACATTATGGTGAGATTCACCCTGAACCCCCTTATAGAACGCCCTATAGATTTTTCACCAGTTCACCTGCACATTCCTGCCTGGCTTGGAGTAGCTGAGTTGGAGAAGGCATTAGTGAATAGCCTTAGATGCAGTTTTAGCCCAGCAGGGGGGAGTTTGTGCGATAATTAACCAATCTTGCTGCTTACAAATTAAACAAGATGCATTCGCTATAAAGGGCGCTGTTAAAATAATACATGCTGTAACTGAGAACGAAAAAGCCTCATAGCTAGATTGGCTAGCCCAACACCTAGGACTTTCGTTAACTCCTTTCCTTCACTCTATTGTAAATACTATATTAACCATTTTACTTGTTGTAATTGTATCCTAGCAGCTGAAATCTGAGGTGTAATAAGCTCTCCCTGTAAACTTCTTGGGGCGCGCCCATCAGTCTCACCTAGACTGCCCACTGTGACGGGGCCTTGTGTCTCAGCAGTTGAAGACTTGGGTGTAACACACACACATGCACTGCCCTGACCATCAGCTGACATGTGCACATGGCAGCAGCTGTTCCCAGGGTTCCCCAACCATGGCCCCTCATAGTGGCAACTACTCCCAGGATTCCTCAGCCCCACCTGCTCCCAGAGTACCTTGCCCCCGTCCCCGTGTGGTGGCAGCTGCTCCCAGAGCTATCTACCCATAGGTCATTGGCCTGGCAGGGTGCCAGTCTGGATCCCAGCCAGTCTGAACATCTGGAGCCAGGGCTCTCTGCTCTAGCAACATCGGCGGTCTTGCTGGACCAGAGTCCCAGACGAGAGAAGTTCAACCTGTATCATGAACACAGGTGTTGCTATAGAAAGTATTCAGGGTGATGTTTCCTTGCTGTTCTTTACAGCAGCCAGCACATACGGCTGCTCACTGTTACCCTCCTTGACCCTTTCTACATCCAATTTCTGTTACTGTCTCTCACACACTGCACACAGTGATTTTTGTATAGCCTTTGCATGACCTACAGTGCCTAGTCACACAAGGTGCTTCATCTCCGATTGTGCTAGAAAAGGACGGGTCAGTCTGTTGTGTGTCACGCTGGGACAAAGCTTAGAGAAGCAATGTCTCAACACCGCAGTGGTGGTGTACAAACCCCACCCTGATTAACCAGAGGTTAATAGGAGCCTGCACCCCATTAGGCTGCTGGGTGGCACCTGGAAGGGTGTTAGTCACTCATGTGGTCACTGGGAATGTCCCCTCTGGGGATAGCTGCAGAGAGAGGCCTGGAGCCAGAACTGGAGGGTCTGGGCAGGAGCAGGCGGGGGACAGTGAAGCCTGGGCCAGGGGTTGGTGGGCTCGGGCTTGGAGAAGCCAGAGGCTCAGGTGATTAGAGCCCTGCCAAATTCATGGCCATAAAAATGTGTCATGGACCATGGAATCTAGACATTTGTGTGCGTTTACTCTGTACCATACAGATTTCCTGGGGGGAAACCAGCATTTCTCACATTGAGGGGCCTGACCCTAATGGACTTGGGGGCTCACAAGTTTTTATAGCTGGGGTTGCAGTATTGCCACCCTTACTTCTGCACTGCTTCAGAGCCGGAGAGCAGCAGCTGACCAGATACCCAACTGTGAAGGCAGCACCCTGCCAGCAGCAGCGCAGAAGTCAGGCTGGCAATACCGTACCAGGCCACCCCTACTTCTGGGCAAATGGAGAATGGCACATGCTGACTGCAGACAGCAGTGCAGAAGTAAGGCTGGCAATACCATGCCAGGCCACCTTACTTCTGGGCTGCTGCTGGTGGCAGCTCTGAGCTGGGTTCCTGGCCAGCAGCTGCAGCTCTCCAGCTGCCCAGCTGTGACAGTAGCTCTACAACAAGAAGCAATACAGAAGTGGGAGTACCACAACCCCCAGCCCCCCTCCAATAACCTTGACACCCCCTCAACTCTTTTTTGGGTCAGAACCCCTACAGTTCTAACACCATGACATTTCAGATTTTAAAAGCTGAAATTGTCAAATGTATGCTTTTTAAAAAATCCAATGGCTGTAAAACTGACTGTGACGGAGCCGGCAGGCTCCTCACCCCTAAACCGCCGGTCTCCCACAGCAGGGAGC